TTCTCCTCGAGCGCGGGGCAGATGCGAATGCGAAGGGTGGCTATTATGGCAATGCACTACAAGCAGCTGCAGTAGCAAAAACGAACCGATTGTGCGGCTTCTCCTCGAGCGTGGGGCAGATGTGAATGCGAAGGGTGGCTGTTATGGCAATGCACTACAAGCAGCGAAAGCATTGCGTCGTGAATCAATTGCGCAGCTCCTCATTACACACGACACGGTTGCAGGGGCTTCGGCGATTGATACAAGTAGCACATCTGGCTAGAGACTCAATTTTTTAACTATCCGAATGTTCTATTCCTGAAGATGCCGCCGCTTCTCGACGTTACTCCTTTCCTGTCCCGTGTTCAGTCGCTCTTTCTCGTACAGGTATTTCATACGGCGTCTATAAGAAATCTCAACTCCTGCCTGTTCGCACTACGTTCCCGGCAGTCTACCGCGCCACGACAGTACTCTCTTATGTACCCCAAACAAACTACTCATTTACTCGATCCCATCTCTCCTTCTCTCACTGAATACCCTTGAAGACTTGCGCCACTTTCTCCACAATTTCGAATTCCCTCATTGGGAGTTCACTTGAATACCCCCACCCGGGTTTGCAACCCTCCCTGGGGATCCGGCCACTCCAAACCCACTATCACTCGATCTCCTTTATTCCGCACCCCCTCCAATACCTCAAACGAAGCCCTTCGTTCCACATTTCCGGAGTTGTCAGCGTGTACTGAGTGTCTCACTTTAATATCTTATACCTATTGCCTCTTGTTTGACCCTATCTCTTTATTGTTGTTATTATTATTACCCGCTCTTGAGATAAAAATTAGATATATATCCGATACTATGGGCATACGTCCCCACTTTCCGTTAATCTGTGAACCTGTCAAGTGACCCTGGCAGCAGGAGCGGGTTAATGAGAGTTTCTCCGGAGATGGCAGGAAGGGATGGAAAAGAATTTGGAAAAGGTCGGGAGTGTCACGCCGACCTACCAATTTCCTCTTTAGCTGGTTGGGTCTGGGCTTGGGCTTTGGAGCTCCCTTCCCATTTTGCGAGATTTGTTCATCCGCCCCTTTCCTCCCTTCCTCCAACTGGAATAAGGCTGTTACAGGTCCACGGAGGACTGCTGTTAAGGAGCTAGTGTCTTCTTCCCTCTTGGGGAATGCCTCACTTCTGCTCCCGTTTCCCCTGCTCTTCACTTTCATTTTTCTTTTTCAGATCCAGCACCCTATAGACAAACAATCGTATAGTAATCATTGGAGCCACCCGCCAGAGTATGACGGTGCATAGAATTTCCATCGCCCTACAATGTGCTCTACAAGCCAAATTCACCAACAGGTACGAGCTGATTCCAGCCAAACCCAAAGAGCAATTTGTGTCGGCCCGCAAAACGAACAGCGGAACATATTGGGGGGTTAAAGCGGGTTGGACTCAGCGTGGCGCGTTATTTTCTCCCGCAGAAAATAGGAGAGAGGATTAACACTTGGTTGGAAACTAGACAATGAGTCCGAGAAGTTTCATCTCGTTCTCCCGGTGTAATCTTTGTAAGATGTGCCAGCTAGGATTCTGCAGGTGTAGGTTATAGAGGAGGAAGTAAAGAAGCATGATAACTTGATATTTGTTGCTTGCCCATTCTCTTCTACCTATGGGCAAGAGGGGGTCTGTACAGACCAATGAGGTCCCTAACCACAATAAAAACGTCGGTCTGCACGCTGTAGAAATCCTCTGTATCCTAACACATGAGCACCTGTCTCTTCCGGCAATTCTTCCACCTTCCGATGTCGGGCCCGGACTCTTCCTGAGAGAAGTTCTCATACCAATATAGCCGGCTCATCGATCCTCGCCGAAAGGCTGCCGAACATTACCGCCAAGTATCATAACATTCGGTCGATTTCTCCCTCCTAAATTCTGAAACTAAATGTGGAATAATACTAAGAATACTAGGGGGAGAAATCTCTGCTAGCGTTAAACCTCACATACTAACCATGAATGAATACCCCCGACTAGTGAGTACTAGTGACTTTCAACAGTAAGCTCTATCGGTTGTACGCTCTCTGATAGCCTCCTTCATTCGCTGCTGGTGTTAATTCAGCCTTTGGAATTGGGTATAAGACCTACTTCATGAGTCCGGATTCTCATGGATGCTCCTCATTAGAGTATTCCCGTGTTGGCCGAGAAGCAGGGATTTTGGTGCAGAGGATCTAGAGCTTTTTCATGAGCATCATATACATTGGCCATTATCTATCGTAGGCTTCAAGGGCTGGCAAAGTAGATTATGGCCTTGGATTAAAGACTTACGGGACACCAACCACAACGAGTATTGCGTCAGGAAACTCTGCCCACCCCATACCCATGACCACTCGATCGGCTTTCCTCATATTGGGTTTCCGCCTACGTCTACCTCGACAGTAATGAAAGATACATCTTCGGTTCGTGCGCCCTGTTGCAGTGTCCGCAACGGGGCAGTCCGTCCGTCCTGGACCAGGACCAGGACGGACGGCATTTTGTCGTCCTGTCCGGTCATTTTCTCAACACGCCCGACAGGTAGGAATGAGGGGCCAGGACGGACTACATTGTGTCGTCCCGTCCTGTCTTTTCCTGAACTTGCCCGACACATAAGAGTAAAGGACCATCCACCCATCGTCCCCTGCTGTCCCTTAAACCCCCAGCCCTTCCCCACCGTACCCCACCGTACCCCGCCGTCTCCTACGATCCCCGGTCGTCCTATGTAGTCACCTACCATCCCCTACCAGAAGTTGTCTCAGATCGTGGGGCTCATCGTCCTTCCTCACGACGGCCGTCCTAGGAGTTCAAGGACGAGGACGGACTATATCTTGCCGTCCCATCCCGTCCCAGGCTCTTGGAAGTCCCTCCGTCGGGCCCTACGGGGGTCCCCGACGGTTGAGAACACTGCCCTGTTGTACCCGCGGCCCGGAGGACCCCCTCCGCCGTATTCATAAAGCGGAGGATTCGCAAGCGGGGTTTAGGCTGGTAGGGTGGATGACGGCCTTCAGTGAGCACGGCCGGCATCAGAGAGGGGGCTTCAAAACGCTACATTCGATCAACCAAAGAGCTCGAGAACTGATTTTACGTTATTCAATTATATCATGGGTGGCCCTACTAGGAGTCGAACTGGCAATGGCCAAGATGAGAGAAAGCGGGATTTTTGGGGCACCAGGTGGAAGGAGGTTTTTTGGGGACCCTTTATCGGATATTCAATCTTGGAAAAGCCTGGAGTGGTTGATAGTAGTCTTGGGTTGTTGTTCACAGCTCATAATCTCCTCCGAAATAAATTAGTGAGCAGCTCCACGAAATGGCGATCTGAGCTATTACTTTCTATCCACTATCGACCTACTATATATTGCTTGGGTTGTGCCTGGTCCAAGGGTATCAACCGGGAGCCATCCGAACTAGCCAGACGAACCCCCAGGCACCCGGTGATATATTTGCGGGTAGTTTTTCAGTTGAAGCGAGAGCTGTTCTAAGGGCCCAGGAGAATCGAATGGTATATATTTCTGGTGGACGACCAGTGATGCAGAGGGTGTAGATTAGGACAGTTTCCGAGAGAGGACCCAACGAAGCCTTTCCGGGCCAACAAGAATCATGTAACATCACTCGTGAAAATGTTGAACCTTTAGTGGATTGATCTAAATAAAGCCCCGTCCTCTAGGGCCACGCAGCCTCGGCTTTCTCCCTCGGTATAACCCGACCCCTGTTATTATCGGACCAACTAACCGCGGACGGGCCCCGTTCCGCCCTCGGTTGAGACAACAGACCTTACTAGGAGAGGCAACTCTTCAACATCCTAGAGTGATTCTCAATTAACTCCGGTCTTACTGTGATCGGGAATTTTATTTTAGAGCTCCATCTGTCCTTAGAACCGGGTATGCCATTCCTGATTTCGAGGTTTATTCTTGGTCCAACTGGCGGGTTTCCAACTGACACCATTTCATCCAGGAACACCGATATATAATACCAGATGATAGCTATAGCTAAACCTCTCCATTCCTTGCTCCCCTAAACAATAGGCAAGCCAGGTGGGTTAATCAGTCAAAGCGCCCGTGAGCGCTAGATCATACGCATTCCGATCCCAATTAATTATGTCCCCCATCTCGGTACTGAAAAGGGACAAATCGAGGTTGGAAAACCAAACACACAAACAGGTAAGCTTCACTCACTTACAAATCAAACAGGCAAATCCGGCCTTCACACACGAAAATGTTTTCCGAAATTAGGTCTGTACAGATCAATTGA